GCTGCGGGGTGCAGTCACATACTATGATCAACACGTGCTCCAAATATTGTGACAGCAATCATATTTTCTAGTGTCTGGTCATAATAAGTCAATCACAACAAAGCATTTTAAACATTGCGAACAACTGACCTCCTCAAAGCGAAGATGGACAGAGACATATTTGCCACTACTATTTGCACTCCGTTCTTTCATCCTTGCAACGAGAGTTTCGCCCATAGTCAATACAGGATTTGAAAACCTCAAAGCTTGATAGTTCGCCAAGCATCTAAGCCGTTGAACTGTTGGAGGAGCATCAAATGATAGTCGGTTTGCAAAAGGAGAAATCCGTATGACCCTGTACAAAAAAAGTTCTAAGGACAGACATTCCAAGTTCACTTAAAAGAGGTTGAACACTGGACAGTATTCACTTGTAATTGAAAAGAAGTACCACAACGAAACATGCCATTGTGGATGGCCAACACAAACAATTTGACAGGACAATAATTGTTGAGATATGGAAATCAGAAAAAATAAACCGATGACATGTATCTTTTTAATCAGCATATTAAAGGCACCAAGGGAAAATTGTAAACACCCCAATTTAGCCTAACGATTATTTCAAGTCCCACCTTGGGGACCATCCCGATGATGAATGGATACAGTGATTGTTGATTGACTTCTTGTAAACCCGAGGACTTTGGTGAATACTTTTAGCCACTTAGAGGACCCAATTCAGAGCCAAATAGCCTTTCAGACAGAAATACAGCATCCTAGGAAAATACATCTGTCGGCCGCAAGATCTATCTCACGGCCCCCACTTCATTCTTTCACCCGTGGAATATGGTGTTTGAAATTCTCACGGAGAGATCGATTCCTTGCCATTGAGATGCATTCCTCGGCCGCCAAATCCTTCTAGCGGCCGCCAAATCGTCCTTTTTCCAGATTCTGGAATGTTCTGTCGTTCGTTTGATCCGTGCTCAAAACCCTAGCAGCCATTTTCCGATTCTTTAGGGCTACGAAATAGATTCCGAGCAAAGATCTTGCAACCCTAAACTACCTTATTGATTCACGCCATTTGATTGGCCAGAGTGAGTCACCCCATGCCTATATAAAGAGGCGCTTAGGGTTCGAAATTATCATCACAATTCACCCTCTCTAGCCACGAAACCCTACAAAAATACTCTCACATACTCTCTCTACAAAAGCCCTAAACTCTCGTGAGTAGCCGCACCCCAAGCAATCAAACCCCGAAGTACAAACCCTAACCCTAGGGTTTCGAAAAGCAAATCAGTCAAGCACCCTCAATCCGAAGCAATCGTGCACTGAGGGATCAAGGTGGTGAGACCCAGGGGCCTATGGTTTGATTTATTTTCCGTTCGGGCATTTTTATCGTAGATTTTTGATTTTCTGATTAACTGTTCGTATTTTGGTGTGAGGAAGAATATCGGCTGGGACATCGTTCCCACAGCCAGTACATCAATCCAATGGGATCCTGCGGCCGTGACATCTATTCACCGGCCGTGGGATCCATTCTCTGGGACAGCCTGTTGTATTCTGTTTACTTTGATGCATGTTCTATTTAGTGTTCTGACTCACCTTATTAACTGTTAAAGGCTAAATAATCAGATTACTTGTTTAGAATTAAATAAAGCAAGCACATATCATATGTCGAATGATTATGGGCCGGTCTCACGACCGGGCAAAGAGGGGTGCCTAACACTTTCCCCTTATTGTACTTTTGGCTCCCGTACCCTGAATCTCTACCTGTTTTTCCTAGTTTTTTACAAACTAGGTGGCAACTCTATTTTGATGATAACCGCTATCGTGTGGAGATATTTCTAGCCATGGGAATATCCACGATCTTGGTCTATGAAGAGGGATTGAACAAAGAGGATATCAGTATGGCGATGCCCCGTTTGGGAGGTGTCTATAAACTCTTTACGCAGAAAGACCACAAAGAAAACTAAATCCTTCAAGAAAAACTGTACTCTGTTGTACAATAGATAAAAGAAAATGAAGCTCAAAAAAGCTTCCCAACAAATGAATGATAAATTTGAAGGACTAAAGTACCTAAATTTTTTTAATGTGTATGACAATACCCTCTCAATAACATGGCATGATGAATAATTAGACCAAAAGATTACATGCCTAGCAAGCTTCAATATTCCATGAATAGGGCATTATCATCAGTTTGCCACGGTTTTAGTTTGGTCCATTTCAGAATTACAGAAGCATAGAAAAAGATCCAAGCCATGCTGATATTGTACAATGAAACTCGCTGGAGAACATATTTCAGAAATGGACTTATCATGGAACTATTCATTATCACCAAGACACCAACGGATGCCTAAAACCATAAGAATACAAGTCCACAAGACATCATTTTTTCCATGCTTATGTACAAAAGAGCAAGAAACTCGAATAAGAGTCGGAAAGATGGTAAGGGTGAAACGTAAATTTCCAACTTACTTTTCTTCAAGTAGCTTTGGAAGGACTGCATCCTTGTAGTAACCAATAGGTGACCATGCCTTTATCCTGAAGTTGTATACATTGCTCATATTGTGGTCAAATCGCTCCATGATGTACTCAGGAATCGTGTTAACTATCCGTACATCATTTTTTAAGGTACTAACAAAATAATCCTCATCATAGATGTCCGTGAATTTGCTGCACAATCAAAAAGATTCAAACAATTCAGGCTGGAAGAAATGGAACTCTTTCATATGAAGTCTACTATTAGAGATCAACTGGTAATGAAAAAACTGCGACAAGTTCACAGCAAACTATCTGCCAAGTTGACCGTTTTATAGTCATGCAAGACTGAGCCCGGAAACAAGTCCTGAAACAAAGCTTCCCTAAATAGATTCAACATCTGCCCTTGTTTTAAAATATTCTGTTGTTTTTGCCAAAAGCCGTAATACAAAACTTGAAGCCATTTTAGTGCATCTCCATGTTAACTGCTTTTCACTAATGCAAATGAGTTCATTGTTGGTGATAAAGAGTGTGATCTAGATTCTAGACCAAGGCAGAGCCCTAACAGAAAGAAATGATAAGATACTTTATAATATGTTAATAATATTTGCCATTTTAAACTTGACTTTGTAGAAATCATGTTTCTGAATGTTTGTGATCCTTTATATTTAGTTGTAAGATACATATGTAATGCAATACATTTTTCTATTTGACGCATCCACAACGTGTACATCTCTTAATTTTATAAAAAATAACTTGTTCGTGTGTCCGTGTCTCATCCTGTATCCATATCCGTGCTTCTTAGCACACAAGGTCACTATTCATTGTGTAGATACGCCATACTCCATTTAATTGCTCATAAAGGAACCTACATTTGAAGAAGGAACTAGTCAACAGCCAAATTTGGCCAGGACAGAAACAGTAACTTTTTTTCCTATCATCAGACTATGGCTGTCCACGACTCCACTGGTCAACCCGACTGACCACCCGACCCGACCGCCAAATGAACCACTCAAACGGCTTCAAACTCCATTTTCGGATGGGTTCGGATCAGATTAAGAGTTAATTTTCGGGTGTCACGTTGATAGCATTATTTGGCTCGACCACACCCAGCCAAAAAAATAAAAAACCCCTCTTTCTTCTCGGTAAACCCAGTACCCAAAACCTAATCCCTCTCTCTCAACCAGGCGTGGGATCTCTCTCTCTCTCTCTCTCTCTCTCTCTCTCTCTCTCTCTCTCTCCCCCTCCCTCCCTCCCTCCCTCTCTCTCTCTCTCTCTCTCTCTGAAATCAACTGGCGAGTGGCAACTGGATCGATTTTCCTCCACGGCTGGATCTGAAATCAACTGGCAAGTGGCAACTGGATCGATTTTCCTCCACAGCTGGATCGAGTGGCAACTGAATCCGACAAACCGTAAGTTTGTATGCGACAACCAGGCGTGGGATCTCACTCTCTAAGTCTCTCTCTGTGGACTGAAACTAACATTGACTGTATTTTGGCATGCATTTGATCACTGCCACATTTGCTAGTTCTATCTAAGTGAAGGATAGAATCCAGTTTGTTCTTTAGATGTTGCTGTCAGTTCCCATTCTAGATCCGTTTGCGTTAAAGGAATGAATACCCGTAGCACTCTTTGTGTTCATCTGTTCATGGTTTGATCACAATCAACCTGGTCAATCCGACCTGACAAACCCGACAGACTATTCGGTCAAAACTGACTACCAGTTTGGTCAGCTTCGGGTCTCCATATGTCAAACCCAGCCAAATGCCGGTCGGGTGAAACTCGAACCGAACCCAATAAAACCTGAACCGTGGACAGGCCTATATCAGACAGTAAGGCACCCTACTTTTACAAATCAGAAAGTAGAGAAAAAACAGAAACACGGAAGAACCTGGGATCTCTCCAAATGCTGTGGAAATGAAAATTGGGAATCACAAGAGTTGCATTAAGATAGCCGGCCACAGCAACAGCATTGCATATCTACAAATGCACAGACAGCAATGTGCAGAGAATACAAGTGAATAAAGCTACTGCATTGAAATCCTCCCATCGAACCAGCAATTTGAATAAAGCTTATATAAGCTTAAAACTTGAAAAATATAAAAATGAGCGACTGAAAAAGCTACCGATGTCCTCTGCTGATTCAAGCCACCATTCGCCTCAACATACACATAACCATTCGACTCAGGCAAGCCTATGATAATACAAACATGAACTTCACGTTAAAATGTGACGATAACTACAGGTACCCATAAGCGTGAAGTACACTACGATCGCATTGCATATAAAAGTCGAATGCAGATGTTCTAAGTTATTCAGAAACCAGAAAGGCAAAAACATGAGACTAAGAAGAACAGACACGTCTACTGCTGACACGAATCGGCCACTTCCAAATGTGAGTAATTTTTTAACTATGTTTCCTTAGTCAGACACACTTGGGAAATGCTAGGACATGTTGAGGTCACATTAGGGATAGCCCAAGCCCCTTTAATATGATGAGAATAAGAGGGGCCCCCCTCTTTTCCGCACTAATCCTTATTTACTACTACATCTTTTTTGGGTGTATAGCTCAGTTGGTAGAGCATTGGGCTTTTAACCTAATGGTCGATGGATGAGTACAGCAGATGATGCGTGAGGTGTCTTTCCAAAGGAAGAGAATACAAGAAAAAGAGATCAGCAACTTTATAAGGAGGTTCTACCAAAAATGGCGTGGGGTAAAAAATACTTAGATCTTCAATAATTATCTAGTGATGGGTGGTTTTCACTTTTCGACAATTTCCAAGTTATGATTTCTTTATCCGTACTTTGATAGAAATAACAATATTATATACACCTGTAGTTCATATTTTGTCCAATTTTTCAGAATAAATTTGCGTTTGAGTCCTTCTCCCATGTGGCATTTGTGTTCTTGCTTTTCAGCATCAAAGATATTCCACACAGTGTCAACTAGATAAAACCAAGCTGGTATCAGAACTTCTTAAACAAAATAGAACGAAATAGAAGATGGAGAAGAAGAACAAGAAACGAGAAGAATATACGAGCCACGAGGATACAACAAGAAAACAAAATGAAAGAGAGGGTGTGGGGGAAAAAGCTAATTAGAGGCCTAAGGAAGTCACAAAAACTCCCCTCTCAAAACCAATCCTAGTCAACATACTAACCTAATATAACAAATTTATCAATTAAGCCTCCAGAACACTTAATAAAATCAATAATCAGCAACGGAATTTCATTGAATCTTGAACTAAACCTAGTCACTGAAATATGAGCGGCCTAAACAAAATGGGAAAACATTTTGAGCTTCCAAAACATATGCAGAAAGTACATTCTTGGAAATTTTGAAATATATAAAACTGGGATAGAAGCAATGATAGACCAATTTTTCAGACCCAAACCTAACCCCAAGTATTAATAACAAATCAAAAACTAGAAAAAGAATCTTCCGTTCTCATTTTGAGTAACATCTCAAGTAAAAACTGCTTGTTCAACTTCTTTCAATGTTCACTCCTAAAGAGTTGGTTGAGACAATAGAGAACATACAAGACTCTAGAGTAACTAGACCAAGAAAAGAATGCCGTGTATGTCAGCATACTGCAATCTTATTCACAATCTATGTTAATAGATGCTCTAAAATAACATTTAACCAGATTACAATTGTCTGTATAAAGTAAATAGTTTGTGTGATTAACTATAACAAAGGAATGCAAATACAAAGAAATGATAACTAAAAAAAGCAATTGCTCATACCTTCTGAAGAATTGCTTAAACACGGTCTCCACTCAGCACCTTTAGGGTGTTTCCATATGGTCAATATCTATAGAAAATGTGATACCTTATGTCAAAGCCACTAAGCCCAACAAGAGATGACAATACAAGAAAATCACATCCTCATAAAAAAAAAGAAGAAGATAATAATAATAAAACCAAAAACGAATAGATGCTACTGAAATTACAATTGGAACCCTATTACATTCATTCAGAACAACTTCTATCATGAGATGATATGCAAGTATATTAGATAACATAAACAAGCTAAAACAAAAACTTTCAAACAGCACCACATTAAGGTGATAAACCAATAAATTATCGCTACCAGATAGCTGGATCTGAACAGTACAAGAAACTTATGGTTACTTGTTATTTCTGTTCATAGGTGACAAGAGAAACTAGGGTTACTCGAGATAAATCTAATCACAACAGAAAATATATTTATTGACAAATAGAAGCTTCCATCAAATAATATATTTAAACAAGCTGTATTATATAATTTGATCCTCATCTTACTTTCATTGACACAACCGCACAAGCTTATCTGAGTCCTTTGTTCCGGATAGAATTAGTATCTTGATCGCAAGACCGACCACTTCAAAGCAGAACATTCCTAAACAGCCTTGCATGGTTCCTCAAGCATACATTTTGCTAAACTAAATTCAATCAGAGATCATCAAAACAAAGATATGACTACAGACTAATGCTGCAGAAATGTCAAGATTTAGGATAACTATCTAGCTATCTCCAAGCAGCAAGCTAGTCTCTTGGAACTCAGAAACAACAGACCATTCTGAGGTTATTGTACACGATTCACAAGAAGCGTGCTAAATTCACTAATAGCCCTAATGCAGAAGAGGGCTGGAGTCACTGGGCTAAGGAATATCTTTAGCTCAACTACAGCCCTTGGAGGGCCAGGCAGTATTAGACCATCTCCTATGGTTAGACAGGGATCAAGGAAGACTGGAAGAGTTAGGTTAGTTAAGTTTACTTTAGCTTCCTCTGCATTCAATTCAGTTATGAGAGTTTTTTACAGAGAGAATCGAAATGCACCAAACGGTTATAGAGTGAAAGCACTGTGTTTTATAAAAAGTACAATGTCCACATTGTAATCTGATTGAGAATCACTAATGAACAGTTTCTGTTTTCCATTCTCTCAACCTAACCATAAACCAACCGTAATAACCGAGAGGACAGGGGTATGGTATGAGTTCAACCAGGTGGGGCCACCAAGCCAGTCCAAGATTGCACAAGTAGGAAAGCCGACAACAAAGGGCGGATAAACTTCACGTGACAAGATCAGAAGATGTGAACAGCTTGTTAAAGCATGCCAATACAAAAGGTACATCATATCAAACTACCATGAACCCCAACTCGCATTTTCCCTCACAGAATTTGCTAATTTAAGCATCGGAGGGAACTTAACCGACCAAACCTGGTCTGGCAGGCAGACAAGATTACTCGTTTTACAGGCTTTCAGCACTGCCAAACATCCAAATGGCATACTAATGCACGGTTCCCATCCTCTAATGGCACACTAATGCACCGTTCTAATCCTAGCGGATTCTACCCCACTACGATACACTTATCAGCAGATCTACACACATTAAGTGAACAAGACAATTCTATTTCCGCAAAAATTCCAACTCAAATGTAAATATTTCAGCTTGACGAACGATACCCAACAAACCACAAAGTGCTTGCATAATGTAATCTCTATCTCTACTGATCTATGAACTAGACCAAACTCCAGGCTACAAAACAAAACAAATTTCTCATTCTGCTTCTCTAGATTTTCGCCCAAATGTGCATTGGTTCCTAAGACTTCCACTTCAGTACTAACTAACCTGAGCAAAATATCAAACTAATTCCTGAATCCTTTAAACCTAAAGATACGACAATTGAATCACTAACCGCAACGCTGGAAGAACAATGACTAACAGACGCCACAAAGTGAGTGCATAACGTGATCTCTACTCATCTATGAACTGGACCAAACTCCAGGTACAAAATAAAGCCAAAGCAAAACAAATTGCCCATCTGTCTCTCTAGCATTTTTAGCAAAATGTGAATTAGGGGGCAATTCTGCTAAACTAAATGGACTAAATGAACTAAAAGCCCATGTTTTTCACGGATTTCTAGATATGTCATTCTCCTCACATACATCAACTAATATACCACTCAGCATAAACAATTTGACTATTGTCATTAGCATGTAGTCTAATAATATAGCAGAAACGCACCCTTAGTTACTAAAACTCCTCTTTAGTACTAACATAAGTCAAAACACCAAACTAACAAACGAACTCCGAAACCTAATAAAGATTGAAACGAGGAATCCAACGACTGACCGCATCGGTGGAGGAATTGTCGGCGTCCATTTCAGGCCGTAGCTTGGCGTAGAGCTGGGGGCTGCGGTACACGGACCCAACGGCGGGGCGGTGCTTTATGACCGGGACGACGTCGAAGGAGACGGTGCCCATGTAGAAGAGCATGCCGGAGATGTAGAGCAACGGGGCGAAGAGGAAGATGCCCTGCCTGCGTAGGAGGACGGAGAGGAGGATCCCGGTGAGCCGCTGGGGTAGGGTTCGGGGCGGCTGTGTGAACCGGCCGGATTTGGAGGACCGGCCGCCGGGCCGGAGCCGGGTGGGGGAGCGGAGCGGGGACTGGGGTGGGGAGGGGCTGTTGTGCCCGCTGCTCGGCAGCCTGTTGTATGCCATCTCCCTCTCTCTCTCTCTCTCTCTCTCTCTCTCTCTGGGAGTAATGCGGCGATTGAGAGAGAGAGAGAAAGTGATGGATGTGGAGTGAGAGGGGAGATGGGGGGTTGTGTCCGTTTGTACGTAATAATGTACAGTATATATGTTGATTCCAATCGACGTGAGAGCGGTGAAGAGCAAGATTGCGAGAGAGAGAGAGAGAGAGAGAGAGAGAGGGGAGAGAGAATTTTTGGAGAGAGAGAGAGAGAGAGAGGAAGTGGATGCACGTGGCTTTGACAGAGACAAAGTTAAGGTCAAGGAGGCGCCATGCCCCTCATGTTTTTCAAAATTCTTTGCGTTAAGAATTGGGAATGATTTTTGCTGCTCTGTCTTTCGCGGTGTATATCATTATCGGGAGATCTTTCAGTGCCGGGCGGGTACCACATGGTATCCGCACGGCATATCTGAGCCGCTCATTGCATTTTGTGGACGGCTAGAATTTAGAGAAAAAAAAAAGGAAAGAGAAAATGTTAGAGTGAGAGGAGAGAGAAGGTTCCAATCCGAGTCGTCCAAAAGCGTATTGGACAACCCGAATGTGCCGAGCGGGTACCCCGTGGGTTATACCCACCCGGCACCGAAAAATCTCTCATCATTATCAGCTTTTTACAGTATTTTTATTCTGCCATCTCTTTTTCCAACAAAAGAAAACACCAGTGAATATGCATATATCTGTATTTACGCTAACGGAAAAGTCGTATTATAGAAAATATAATAAGAGAAATAAATTGTACTGAAATAGTAAAACATACAAATAAAATATTGGAAGCTAGAAGTCGCTTTCAACTAAATAATACAGTAAAAAAAAAAATACGGAGTAGGTACTATGTTTGTTGCAAATAATTGATTTTTTTTAAGAGGAGAGTAATACATTCTTATTAATTAATTTATTTTAAAAAAATGTTACGTTTATAAGTAATAACATCAACCATACCAATGATTGAATATTTTTAAAAGACGAGAGTCATGTAATTGAACGGAACATTCAACGCGAAGCTATTGTGTAATTTTTTTTTTTTCCAAATCTCTTATTTTATTGACTACAAAACCTTAAGAGAGTAAAGAAAATATGTCGAATTCATAGTTCTTCCGTATACGTGATGGAACCA